GGGCGCTAATTAAATCGAATCTTTATCTACGGTAAATTATACATTACTGTAGACCAAGACGGCCTGATTTCTGTACGCTATCCCAGATAGGTCTGGCCCGGATTTGTTTTGCTTGCCCTACTGGCTTTTCTTACTTCTGTGATTTCTTTTTTTCTTACCCTAAATAAGGGGGGCGGGGCCACTGCTTGCAAATGGAGGGTGTGATTAAAATGGCAGAAAACAACAACAACAACAAGTACTAATCCGATGTTGCTGGGAGTGCAACGAGTCATAAATTTACAAAGCTAACATCACAGAAACGAAATTAAATGGAATATTTCAAAATTTATTGTTGTTCTTATCAATTAAATTCTGGAAAAAATAATTACTATTCATTTTACTGTACTGGATCAGTGTTTCGCAACATTATTACGTTGGACGACTGTGTAACTCTGGATGTATTCTCAATAATGAAATGATGTGTTGTGTAGCAAAAGGTACCAAGATGATGAATAAAAATGAAGATATGAAACGCGTGATGGAATGTAAGAGAAAATGTGTGGATATCAAAGATTTATTTCGTATTATTTTTAAATTAATTCCCTGTTAGTATTTTTTGTTTAATTGCCTTAAAAATAGCAAACGACCGAGAATAACTTTCTTTCCCAAGAGTTTGACAATTGAGACTGAATACATTAAATTAGCCTGGGATCATATTATCATAGGAGGAAAGCAACAACACGTCTTTTCTATGCGCCGCTTCTCTGGGATTCGATCTGAGGCCATTGCCGTTTCTTTCTAGCAAACAATTCCTCTATAAAAACAATGGATTCAATAACCACTTGCTTCGTCGTAAGCGGGTGACCAAGACATGAGTCGCTCTTGGCATGTGATTAATTCTACCCCCTTCCACCCCTTCCACGTCCCCCGGGGCCACCACTGCTCCGGCCCCGGCCCCGGCCCCGACCCCGATCGCCCCGACCCCGGTCGCCTCGACCCCGATTGCCCCTACCATGATGGCCGCCCCTTCCGCCCCTCCCCTCACCGAAGGTTCGCTTATCGCGTGACTGATCAAACGTTCTTTGGTCGCTTGTTCGTGAATCTGCGCTTTCAGTTCTCTGTGAATGAGTCTTCCTGTGTGTTACAGTGCACCAGTCCGCGGTGCTGTCACTGCTACTTTGCGTACTTGCACTGTCACCTCTGCTGGACGTCGACTCTTCACTATTTTTCGCGTCACCTTTTTCTCCATCGTCATCCACAGCGCGAGTTTTACCTCGCTGTGCGCGATTTCTTGAGAAATCGCTGATTTTTCTATAGGCAGGCGGCACTGCTCCTTCGCTAGTGGTTGTACGATGTTTTATTCCTTCATTGTCCTGAAAATGCGGGCTTCTTGCAGCATATTTTGAGTCGCTGACACTGCGTTGATAGTTCTGCTCCCAATAGCGTCCTCCACTCGCACCTCTGCACCTGCCTCCCCTCCCTCTCGATCGCTGCTGTTGTTGATTCGATCTTGACTCTTTCCCAGGACCTTGAGTGGATTCAAGGGGAAAAGTAGATGAGCGAGGCTTGGGACTGCTGTCAGAGATCCAGCTTGCATCCCAGTTCGGCGGATAAGCTGCAAATGAACAAGCAAATCATTCTGATAAACCACTCTTTACTATCATGAACTGTCACAAGTAGCCACTAAGTACACGCTCAGCAACGAAAAGCACTTTCAGAGAAACAAAACAAAACAAACAACCTGACAGACAGATGACCAACCGAGCGACCGAGCGACCAAAATATCTTCAATTAATTTGTAATCACCTGCTATCGTTAATATAATTGACCAAAACTACACATCAAACCTCTACAAAAGGATTTTCAGCAGTTATCAATCTTAATAAACTACTAGTAATGAGCAATTTCTGTTGATGGTAATCCTGTTTAAATGTACACCATGTAAATCAAAGAGATAAGGTAAAGATTTACGAGACCTCTTTTAGTTCCAGTGTATTAGTTTCATTTAGGCGACCTTCTACCTCACGCTTGACTACTGTAAGTGTGTAATTTTATTATTATTATTATTATTATTATTATTATTATTATTATTATTATTATTATTATTATTATTATTATTATTATTATTATTATTATC